AGTTAATGAACGAAAAGTAGGTGTCTATTTACTTGTGACCACTCAGTGTAGTTACAGAGAATTCCACTCCTCATCAGTAACCCTGAACACAAGTTAACCGAAAAACATAAGCTGGACCTATAGTGACTATAAAGCACATTCACACCAACTATATGTTTGAGGGCTCTTTTTGTATGCAACTTTTATATATACTACTAGAAGAAACATGGGCAATAAAAAATAGTGTTGATGACTTTCAGATCAATAAACTTATTTAACATAAAATGCTATAATTTAGGATATTTTATAATTGTTGTTTTAGATATAGAACATGCACCATCAAGAGAAAAAGTACACATTCCTCAGACTGTTGTGGAAAATTATTCTGAATCAACACCTCTCTCCGACAGTTGCAGAGAAGGACTTTTTGGTCACAATATAGATTCAGACAGAATTGAACTTGATGAAAACAGGTACTGTATTTTTTTTTATTTCTAGTTTTTAAGGTAATCCGACCTGGAATCATTTCATAAGGTCTTGAATCCCAGTGGTTTAGAACTAATATTAACTTCTGATAAAAGTAAGCTTCTTTGTATTAGAGGAATTGACTTTCACCAAATGTGAAATTCTTAAAATATCACTTACATGTAAAGGGTGTTGTTATTGAATAACTAGTGAATGTACAATATGTAAATTTTTTCTTGAAAATTTAGAATTGCTAAGTTGGAAATTCCATTATTGTTTTAGTTTAAGAATTCCTTTACTTGAGAGTGACCACTGCCATTTCAGTTTGCACCTGTTGCAGAAATCTAGGGTGGGGGAGCAATTTTTCTCTGATTTGTACACCACTGTTCAATCCTAGAACCTTGATCAGATATTGTACAAGTACCATATGATGTTGTGACAGCAGGTACACTTAATGTCATGGGAAGAGTTTGTTTCATTGTGATATTGTAGAGGAAAGAGTACTGGTGGTGTAATATTGTAATGATGATGTGCTTAGTGTTGATGATAGAAAAGGATGTGTTAGTGTTGCAAAGCAAGAAAGATGTATTAAAAATTTGTATATTAATTTTTATCTCGGTACTCTGCAAATTATAAGTGAGGAAGTGGTTATGATGAGATGTTATTTGGATGTTAAAATGCTACATACCACTGATTGTAACTTTCCACATTCATAAAATACACTGAGACTTGAAAATAACAAAGCACATAAATGACATTGAGATGTCCAGCAACATCTGGTTAGTGTATTTTATTAAAAAGTAGCTAGTCGTGCATCTTCGAGGAACTACAAAATTTCTAGTAACCAAAGAATCAATATTAGTATATTGTTTGAAAAATAAGTTCAGTAGGAATGGTTAGAGAAAAAAGTGACTATGAAAGTTGGGAAGGATGAACTATACACATTTCTTTCCCGATATATCCGAAAGGGAATTTCGAGGCATCAAAGAATGCTTCAAATGCAACCAAATTTTTAGAAGATTTCAGTTGTTAGCCTTTAAGATGGACTAAAATATAACAAGAATTCTGACAGAATGTGAAACCTACGTCATGCTTAGTCCACCTTTATATCACATTGAATGTGTTTGTCCACTTTGTTATGAAGTGGAGGTCTTGATAAAATGGCCAGTCAGTGTTAATAAGAATACCCTGTGTTTGTGTTGTCTTGTTTCTTAGGTGATGTATTTTGTTGTGTATTAAGTGTTAAAATGTGCTTAAGTTGTAGCATTAGTTAGAGAGTGCATCAACCAAGTATTAAGTGAAGGTTAAACCGCTGTTCAAAGAACAAACAATTAACAGTAATACATTAAAGTTTAGAATAAAATTTTTTTGTCATCCAAAAAAAAAATCTGTCCTCACAGCTATTTTTTAGAAAAAAACTCTGAAAAGCTATCTCACTCACCTTACCACCTTCACTTGTATCATCAGTGAAAATAAATCCACTTTAACTAAACAACTTGCCTTGCCTTAGATGAAGAACTGAAGGGCTACCTCTAGTAATCATGGCAATCCAAACTTAGAAAATTATTAAAATAAGTCATACATGGAGTACAAAAAATATATAGCTTTTGTTTTGGGGCTTCTTTATAATTAATTTCAGGAAATAGTTTGGAAGAAAAAACAATTCTTATCACTTAACTAATAGCAGACTTGTTTATTAGAACTCTCAATTTCCACTGTCACATTTTGTATTTTTATCTGTGGCATAGTGGCTCATAAAATGGCTGTTTTTTTTTTTCAAGTACAAACTTTTTGCTCCTAGCTCTATCTCTTGACCGATTTGAGATCTAATTACAGCCACGGGCTACTGAGGATTCCCTCTTGCTTACGACATGTTCACGTGGCTATTCCTAAATGTTCTCTAACCTTCATCATGAAAGATTGAACTGTATTGTATTTTTGCTTTTGTACATAGAAATACTAAGTGTTATGTTTTTACCACCATCTCCCTTCGACTCTGGATCTTGCATACACACTATTAACGTATTTGAAATAATAGTGAACAAGCATGAAATTACTGACTTAATTTTCATGCAAGACTTCAGGTTTTTTTGTTTTTTTTCAATTTTCAAAATGTAACATGTTTATATTTTACAAACAAGTTTTCCCCACATTATTCAGGTCATGCGTTATGTGTTGACTAATCTCTTTACTGCAGACAGTAAAACATCAAATAGCATATGGCATGGTATTACTGCAAAAACGTGTATTAATTTAAGTAAACTGATAGCTTAAATTTATCATAAGCATTAATTCTGTTTTCTGTAGTGGTTTAACCTTTCCCAAATATTAAGTGAATTCTTCTCAAAGTTTATTCTTTTAAACTAAAGGTAAAAAAAAAAGTTGTTACAAAAAAGTCTGGTAATCTTTTACCAAACAAATTTTTAGTTAAATGTGACATCCCTTCAAGTTATATTCTGTGTGTGTGTGTGTGTGTGTGTATAATGTTAAATACTTACCTCAGTATAACTGAGCACTAAGTTTTTAAAAACACCCCCACCCCTCCATTATTCAATCCATCACAATAAACCTTTGTTTTCTAGTTTAAATACTACAGGACTTACTACCAGAGAGAACTTGGCTGATAACATATCAGGTACACTAACAACCATTCAGTCAGCAAAAGCTGAGAGAACAGAGGCTAATTTAAAACAGAAGGGTCTAGAAATTACAGATGAAAAGTTTTCTGAACTTAGCCCAGACCAACAGAGAGCAATACAAGCAGAGAAGCGTGCAGCATGGAGGCAAGCAAGGTTAGAACAAAATAATTCAGATTTGAAATTAAATTTATATATATAAGATATAGGTTACTAGAAAATAGAGAAAATGAAATTGATACTATTAAAGTTTTCAGTTGAAAACTAATGTAAAAACATGAATAAATATAAGTTATGTTCTATCACATTGTTTATTAAAACATAACATGATACACTACTCAAACTTAATTTATTTCAAAATTTGCTTTCTTTTCATGTCCATAAGATTGTAATGTTTATGCCTTAAAAATGATCGAAGATTGTATTATTTTATATCATTTAGATGCTACAATATAACAAAATTGCTTAGAATATGTTTGAATAGGTCATGATGCATTTTAAAAAATGTATGTATAGTTTGATAAATATTACTTGTCTCTGTCTTCTTCTCTGTTATACTTCTGTATAATCAACAAGTAGTATTTTGTTTTAGTTCAGTTTCACCATATTTAGTAGAAATGATGCTTCTTCCTCAGATTGAAGTCGCTAGAAGAAGATGCATTCCGAGCTCAAGGGGTAAATATAAGAGCTAAGAAGATGAATGAAACATTAATGGAAGCAAGACCTGTATCACCTGTCTTAACGGTTGTAGAGATTGATCTTGATAATCAGAGTAACAAAGGTACAAAAAAAAACTAATGGAATTGTATCATTTTTATTTTACTGTTGGTATATTACTTTAATGTATGCTTCATATATATATTTAGATATATATGTTACTTTAGATTTCTGTTAATTTTATTGGCAGTTGGCGTAAAAGTTGGGTATTATGGACAATATATTGACTTTCTTTGTGTCAATCCTTTCCAAATCATGTTAGAAACATTTTTAAAGTAGAAATCCTTGTACATTTCACTTCATTTAGTTTTTGAAACTAAATAATTTCAGGACTTTTCTAGTGTTAGAATCCATGTTTTGTTAACTCAGCTTGAGATCGGTAATATTTGCATCCATTTATTATCACTCAAAATTAATCACTTCTTATTGTTCTTAACTTCATGTGTAACTGGTAGTCTCATAATAATGATTATCAATGAATAACTGAATGTTTACACTTCAGCAAACAAACATGAAAAAAAATTATATATTTTTGTGTTATTGTATACTAGTCATGTAGGCATTCAACACACGAGGAAGACAGAGAGAAACCCCTGGAGGTGATATAGGAGGGTTAAATCTGAACACTAACAACCCTCTATATCACTCTCTGGGGTGCTCTAAAGGTACATGCCAGATTTGGAAACAATCAGTCCATCAGTTTCCCAGTTATGAGTGCACACAGATCTTTGTCAAATAATAGCTGAGATTTTTATTATACTTATTTACTTTATAATATTTCCCCATGGTGGGCAGAGCGTAGATAGCCCATTATGTAGCTGTGTGCTAAAACAAATAAAACATTAGTTGTAATTTTTAATTGATTGCATTTTTGGATTAATATGTTAAACAGCATAACCATATTAGAACTTAATTTTCTAACTTAGCCAGAGCTTGAGTTCAGGGGGAGCAAAACTGAGTGCTGTTCCTGTTGTTAGAAAGTTTTATGAAAATATTCCTGTTGTAGAATGTCCAAGGACATGTGTAAATTAAAAGATATGTTATCACAATCTTACCAGTTCATATCATTTATGCAGGCCTACTTCATTTTATCTCAAACCCTAGAGACCACAAAACTGAGCTCCACTTGATAACTTTACACAACTCAAACCCTGAATTTGTTTGTCAGCCATAAAACTTTAGGAAAAAATATTAGTCAAGAACATTATAGTCATGATGGAATGTTATGTTAAAACTTTATATATATATATATATATACATATATAGAGAGAGAGAGAGAGAGAGAATTAACTTTAAACTTAAGTTTTAATAATAGTGCGATATCAGTATTACAAGCACTTATTGTAGTCGCCACCTTCTTCGGCCAGACTTAAA